TCTTTCATGGTAAGTATGTCCCTTTCGGCAATGATAATTTCCGTCTGAGACTTCCTCAGCTTTTGAAGTCCTCTCTCAAGCTGTTTCTCTCGATACGCCTTCTGTTTCTCAACACGCTCTCTTCGTTCATCTAGCTCGCGAATTTTCCTCGCTATTGAATCTCGCCTGGACCGGACAATCCTAAGTCAGTGAGATGAATCCAGGACTTAGTCATCTTAGGGTCCTTACGAGAGTTCGTTTCGTTTCCTGTCGACGTCCTGCGCGAGAGTTGCTCTTTTCCTAGTGAGCGCCCGAGTGGCTGTTCGCTGTTCTATGACAGCACGGTCGAGCTCGTGTTTGAGTTTCATCGCGTCTTCATATCGAAGCTTGATCGCTGGGAGCTCCTCATTTTTCTGAGGAGACGCGAGTGAGCTGCACTGGACAAGGGCCTTTCCTAAACCACCTGTTTAACCAATTGTGTATTCACAAAGGCCAATTTAGCGTCTTGTTCGTTAACTTCCTTTCGCAGTGCATTTACTTGTCTCGTCAGTGCCTCTATATGATCAGCGATCTCAGATATCTCCCATTGTCGCCGGTGATATTTCCCCGACCATTCCCTCAAGGCTACCTCAACCTAAGAGAGGAGGCTCAGTGATGAAAAGGATTTCCCGCTGGGAAAACATACGCCTTCTCTCCCCGCAACGCCCCGCTTCGATAAGGACGGAGTCGCGACGCTCCTCACTGAGCGAGGAGGCAATGGTGCAGGAAGTGCTGATGCGAACGAGAGTAGCATACAAGAAGAAGAACGACAGAGTGGACGAAATGTAATCGCGCCGCATCATGGCATCGATTACATGGGCGTGCGCTAATCGAAAATCGCATATCCAAGCACCACGAGCTCGGGCCATAACCTATCTCTCATGAATGGCAGCCCTCCTGGATCGCGATACAATCAGGGTATTGTCCGTTGGGTCTTCTTGGTTGTGTGAGCTCTATCACAGTCCTCCTTGTATGAGCGAACACATGATTAAGTACGCCGTATGGAGAGCGCGTATGAACATCTAAGTCCTCTCTAATAGTGACGTGTAAGTGCTCACGGGATCTGTACGATAGCTGCATTGATGATGTCTGTCGAGTCGGGTCTGTTGTTGAGGCGATCGACCGGAACCTCCAAATTGGGAAGAGGATGTGGCTGTACTAGAAGCATGAGCTTCGCTCGGGTAGTTGCTCTGTCGTTACTAGAAGGGGCTTGCCTTATGGTCCTCCTCTACAGTGTTACTTTTCACAGTAGTATTTGCGGTTCTTCTCTTACAATGTTCTCAGAAGCTTTTGACGCAACGGCACTGCCCAAGTCCCACGGCATGTCCAAAACCGCCAAGGTGAGCGATGGGGTAGTCTCCTCGTGGGGGGATCGTGATTCTCCTTTAGGTCGTCGCTGGAGCCACCGCCTGTACATTAGCAGTTGGAGCTGGCTTCTACCTTTATAACCGTCGACAACGGGTGCGCAAGAGTAAGCCATAGCACATTATCGCTGTTACCTCTACGAGGGGTTATTCGTTTTACTGTGTATGGGCGACATGGTTTCGTACAACGTGTTGGATTACTCGCGGCAGTGTTGCTGGTCATCCTTTTTGGTCAGGCGAGGTGGAGAGGTTGGCTTCTCTGGATCTCGAGAAGTTGAAGCTCATCACTGATGATCTGCTTGTCGACATGCACAGTGTTCTCATGGAGATGGCTCAGATGACTCGTGAGTTGATCATTCCATCCTTTTGGTGGATACCGTAATCGTCTCAGAACGGGTGAGAACCGCCTTGACCCAGAAAGGACTGTCGAATCAAATGACGGACGATCAGCTCACCGAGATGATACTTCAGCAGGGTATTCAGCAGAAGCTCGAGGACACCCAGAAGCAAGTTCTGAAGAAGTAGTAGAGACGCCTTATCATTCGGTGGAGGCACCATTGACTGGTCTAGATATGGTGTTACAGCTGAGGAGGTTGAGGCAGCGCAGAAGCGGTACGAAAGTGATGAGCATATCCAGCAATTTGAGAAGGGCATTGACGCTATGTTCGCCTCGGCGACTAAGGGGAAGATGCCCATCATTCCGGGTAGTAGTTCATGGCTGATGATGATGGTTGAGGGGTAATTCATGTCGTTTCGTAGGATTTGAGATGCCCGAGGCACTCACAGTGGACATGTGTTTGAAGATCCTCGAGGCTGTGAATACGGAGAAGTTGGCGAGGTTCCGCAAGACCCTCAAGGAGTTCTGGCAGAAGCATCCTCATCCTGTTGATGTAGTGTGATAGCGGACTTATTGCTAGTCTGGAGTTGCTCTATCAGGCCGACCAGG